ATTCTAATTTTTTGAGATAGGATTTTTGAGTTTTCTCAAGCTCTAAGCCATAATCAGCAATATTAAAATAATAAAAGGCTTGCAATATTTCAGTTGATTTGCAATGAATCCAGTATGCATGGCATTTTTGTTTTTTTAATTGCATTAAAGAAAATAATGAACTTTATCACAATATTCAAATTTTCTGAGACAGTCCTGTAATACTTAGTACACGGGCCTCTCTTTCTTTATTCGCTATCTGGCGCCATCATCCGGTCAAACCGGTGAACATACATTAACTGACAGCACTCAAGAGAAAAAAAGATATTTTACTCAGACTGAACATAAAATGTATTTAAAATTCTTTATATAGAAATAAGATACTCTGTAGACATTAGTAATGTTCTTTAGTTTTGCCTAAACTTAAAAAAAAAGGCAAAAAGAACCAGAACGTTAGTAGACATTAGTAATGTTCTTTAGTTTTTCCTAAACTTAAAAAAAAAAGCAAAAAGAACCAGAACGTTATTATTTTTAATTTCTAAACCTATGAAATGAGGGTAACAGGTATTGATTGGGTAAATAACAATTGTTCCACTTTTTTTTTTCCATTTGAAATGGTAAACATAAATGGCAGGATGGATGCTCAGACAGTATCTAACCTCCTGACATGTTTGGCCAGTGTTTTCTTGCTCGCGTGGAGTTTGTTGCAGAACGGACATTTGTGCTCCTTCTTCTGACAAGGAGTGTCGCTGGTGTGTTTCTTCTTGTGTACGGTCAGGTTCGACTTGGTAGAGTAGCACTGAAAACAGATGTCACACTGGAATGGTTTCTCCCCGGTGTGAACTCTGGTGTGACTCTCATATTTCCCTGAACGCAGAAGGCAGAACAATTACACCAACATCACTTTTTTTATACAAGTAATTATTAAAACACGTGCCATTCAACCACTTTCAGAAAGTTTTCACCTGCTCGGTCGAAGACTTTGTCACATTTGGGACACTTGAGGGTCTTCCTGCTGGAGGTGTAGGTGATAACTGGAGCAAGACCTTCAGGATATGTTGGACTCTTGACGGAGTTTCCAGCCGCTCGTCCGCACATCTCCGGCTTCTCAACACCATCACCCTCGGATTTTTTTGACTCCACATCCTGGCTTCCCTTTTCTGCTGCACAAACTTCATCAATTTTCTCCTGAGACAGCACCACTTCGATAATGTCCCCTCCCTCGTCCTCTACGACATCTGCATCCACTCTCTGCTCTCCAGCAACAGGGTTCACGTCCTCTCTTGCCATTAGGTTTTCAGCTGCCGGCTCTTCTGCTTCTTCCACTCTGGCTTCATCTTGTACAACTGAGGACAGGACTTTAGTGTTTTCCTCTGGTGAACTGACAGTGTCTTTTCTATCAGCTCTCTGGTATTTGCCAGGTATTCTCCTTGTCCGAGATGACCTACGCCTTCCGGGCATCTTCCTGCCTGCTGTGTCAACCTTTTCAGGTAGTGAGTCCTCCTGTGCCGCATCCCTGTGGTGGTCCCCCGAAGAGCTCTCTGTTGAGTTTTCAAAGATATCTTGCCGAATGTCCTCCATCGGACTCTGACCACCTGCTGGTGAGATCGTGGAACTCATTTCCGTCTCTGGACTCTTCTGTATCTCAGCTTGATCCTGGCTTAAACTCTGAGGCTGCGCCGCCGCCTCTCCGCACAGCATCTTCAGTAATTCCGTCATGTCCAGGAATCGGGCCGCTTCAGTTAGAGCTGGGAGATCTTTCTCTGTTACCAGGCACTCAGAAGCATACAGAAAGCTGAGCAGGTGCTGGAAAACGCAGTCATCCACGTGGTCCAGAGTCACCTGTGTGGTAGTGGGGTTCTTGGAGAGCTCAGCGTGGAAGTAGCTGCTCCCGTGGGCCAACACCACCTTGTGGGCTTGGAAGATCTTCCCACCCACGGACACAGACAGGTCACAAAATTTCTGGCGACTGCGGTCCTCATTTAAAAAGGTTAGGAGGCTTTGACTGCGCTGTGGTAGAGTCAGGTGGTGGACTTCCAGCGCTGACTCTAAAACAATCTCAGAACTGGATGGTGCAATGAAGTTTTCCTCTTCAGCTGGACAGTCATCATTGCTACTCACCAACTTGTTGCGCTTAGAAGTACGCAGTGGAGGCCTAGGTTTTTTCTTCATTATTTCGGGGATGATATTCCACAATTAATTGCTCCTGAAAACATAATATTATTTATTAAAATAACATTTTCTCCAAGAAAAAAAAAACATACAGTAAATATATATATTTACCAACTCTCTTTACGTCCAAACCTAGTCAACATTACCTCTCCTAGTTTTTCTATAAATTCCTGTGATTGACCAAACCCATCACTACCTTTGTAAATCTTAGCATCAAACTCCTGACTGCTCATAGACAACGAAAAACAACACGGCGCTGACCGCTGATGTAAATATAACCATCCTCTACTTTCCTCCCACTACAAACTTTCGCGTAGCGATTCTATTTGCCATTCTATCGTTTGCGTTCTCCAGAACCAGGAATACACACAAATACTGACCTCTCAACATACTCTGTTGAAAATCGTATTTGAAGAAAATAGCACTGTTTTATTGTAAAGGATAAGCAAATATTCACTCCCCACCTGAAGGACCCCTGACATTAGGACTAAATGTGTTTCTGACGGGCGGACCCCCTAAAGGAGAGCTTTGACAGACGACTCTCTCTGCTACAAACAAGTCCACGCTCTTAAGTCAGTTTATTTCAGGGACAGGCCTTACCTGTGACTCGGTGTTGTAATCTTTGAAGAACTAAACAATCCTAGAAGGAAGGTATATTAAGAATTAAACAGAGTAAGAGTTATTTCCTACATATATGTGACTAAAAGAGGAGCCATCTTACCGGAAATGTCAGACACTGACGTTCATTGGCTATTTCCGCTTAAGTTCTTTCGTTTGGAAACGTTAACCAGCACAAGGCACGTCAGCGATAAAAAAATAAAAAATAAAATTCCTTGTTTAGATTTCTTTAATAACGGGAAATGTGAATATTAGGCACGTAGAAGCTGGCTGTATGTAATGCCAAAGTTGTAGCGGAAAGGTATTGTGGGTAATGAAGTCTTTTACTCGCCTTCCGCAATTCGATGCTCAATGTTTTTCTTAATACGTTGAAGTACAGTACTAGTATTTACAATTATTTCTCCAGTTCAATACCTTTATTTAAGATTGTATTTTTTTATTTAACTTAATTTATCTGACAGCCACATGCAAAGACACTGACATAATTTTGTTGTTGTGAAACAAATTGAAAAATAAGCTAACATCATAAGCAATCGCTATATTTTCCATTTTAAAATATATTTATATCATATTTTAAAATGACAAAGTCTAAATCATTATTTTTATTGTAACACTCTGTGTAATACTGTTATTTTTTTCTTTTTTTTTTGCGTGTTTCCTCTACAGTGTCTCTCTCTCTTTCTCTTTTTTACTTGAATTTTTTTTTCTTTTCTTCTTCAAATAGCTATATCAGCCTCCTGTGTGATTCACTCATTCAACACATGCAATGTAAGGCACTGGAAGTACATTAACTTAATCCCTTCTATCTGGCTCAAAGGACTCAAACCTTTGCAGTAAGAAGGCGCAGCTGAAGATGGAACACCGCACGTGTTTCTGCCTGTCTTTCGGTAAAGCTGAGAATTCTGAAGGCCATTCAGTATTTTAGAAGAAAAATGGGCCCAGTGTTTTATCACAGCTTCTACATGTGGCTGCTCTGGCTACTATATGCAGGTAATCTCTAAATACAATAGGAATATTTATTATTTAATATTTGTGCAATTTTTAAAAATTCCTTCTTACTGCATTTTATATTCCTTATCCTATCTCTAAATATTAGGACTGACAAAAAATGTTATTTTACCTACAGACATTTTGACAAGTGAGAATATCAGTGGATGCGAACTGCAGCCGTGTCGAAATAACGACCCCCTGTGTGATTCACTCAGGGGATCGAAGGACCACGAATGTGAGTGCCCCAGACCATATGAGGGACACAACTGTGCCGAGGGTAAGTCTCACTTTGGACATTATTGAGATTAGGATCTATTAGCATCTATTGGGCAAACGTGGGTATTGCAGGGAAATGGCAAAAGTATAATGATAAAATAAATAAATAATATCATCTGAAAAAGTTTGAAAAAGCGGGCCTGAATAAAAAGCTGAACGGGCCACATCCGGGCCCCAGGCCTTAGTTTGCCCATACCTGAGCCGAATAATATCATCTGAAAAAGTTTGAAAAAGCGGGCCTGAATAAAAAACTGAACGGGCCACATTCGGGCCCCAGGCCTTAGTTTGCCCATACCTGAGCCGGAGTCTGTCTCTTAGTCAACATTATCTGGCTACATTAAAATAGTGGGAAATCCACATACGTACGCCCACACAATTTACTTTCAGCTAACATAGATTGTTTTTCCCTGCATTTAATGTTTTACCCACATACGTACGCCCACACAATTTACTTTCTGCTAACGTAGATTGTTTTTCCCTGCATTTAATTTTTTACCCAGTACTGTAATGGGTTCCTTTCCAGGTGAAATACTTGAGTCAAAATGTACTTAAGTAACCTGTTCCCAAAACAACCTAAAAAATAAATTACTCACAAAAACTACTCAATTACAGTAACGTGAGTAAATGTAATTCGTTACTTTCCAACTCTGTTTACGTTTACATTTTTTTTTACTTTCTTTTTCCCTCCATCTAAACAGAGTATGTACCTGCAAGATTTGGAAACAAAGACCTAGACAGTCACGCCGTGTTCTACCTGGATGATGATCCACGTGATACCTTGGTCGTATCCATGTTCCTTCGTACCAGACGACTCGGTGGCTTGCTCCTGATTCTGGCCAACAGCACCAGTCAATACCTCCGCCTGTGGGTGGAAGAGGGCAGGGTCAAAGTTCAGGTCAACAACCACGAGACATTGTTCAGTCAGAAGGCTGTGAACGATGGCCATTTCCATTTACTGACTTTGACGGTGCGCGGTATCACGTCCACCTTGTTCCAGTCGAGCCAAGTCATGGATTCTGTCTCCGTGAAGCCCGTCCATGCCCACTCTGGGGATCTGGTGTTCATTGGTGGGCTGCCGGACCAAAAGTCCTCTGCAGAGTTTGGAGGCTTTTTTCAGGGTTGTTTGCAGGACCTGAGAATTAACAACAAAAAACTGCAGTTTTATCCCCTGGATACTTCAGTGAAATCCTACCGCCTGGAGAAACTCGTGAACGTTGAACGAGGATGCAGCAGTGACGACAACTGTGCTGTGAGTTATACATCGTAATGACTTTCTGAAAAAATGTGTCCTGACAAATAAAGACGATTGATCCTAAAATGCTTTATTAGGTCAGTCCTTGCCTTAACGGGGGGGTTTGTCACTCCACATGGGACGACTTCACCTGTACTTGCCCCCTGAACACAACAGGGCGGCGGTGTGACAAAGTTAAATGGTGTGACTTGAATCCCTGCCCCAACGGCACTATTTGTGAACTCCGCCTGGAGGGCTTTGAGTGTAAGTATTTTAGCTATCCCGCCTTGGAGAAAAAGTTTAGAAAATTAATTGTAAAAAATTGTAAAAATACAAATAAAAAAATGGATTGGATTGTGTGACAATAGGGATTAACAAAGGCCTAACCACTGTACCTGACAATTTGAGATCTCTATTTATTTACAGTACGGAAGATGCTGGTCCGTCACAAAACTTTCTCTTTAGTGGGTGCTGTGTAATGACAGGCTGCAATGATTAGAGCAGGGAACAGAGTTGAGGCAGGGATCCTACATTGGATTTCTTTAAAACCCACTAATCCCGGCTCAGATTATCTCTAACTGCCACGTGTTTGTGGAGGGTAAGGTTGACGGGGTTTTTTTCTCGTGCTAATACATATACCAAATGAGAACTGAATAAAAGTTGATCGGGGGGGCTGGGTCAGGAGCAGATAGATAGAGCGTTTGTGTGAACTATGATAAATAACATGTAAAAGTCATGCATAAAGGTTGAAATGCTAAAATGCTTTTCTCATTTTCTACACCATCTATTGGTAAAACGTGTGCATTGCAGGGAAAAGGCAGAAGTTATAATAGATAATAATGTTTTTTCCCTTTCCATCAGGTTTGTCTAATGTGACACTCCATGACAAGAGCAGCATTTTGCACTACCAGAGCAATGGAAAAATCAGCCACTCGCTTGCTGACGTCTTACTGAGCTTCTGCTCAGGACAGCCCACTGCCACTCTACTGTTTGCCCAGCGGGGCTCTGCCCACCTCGCAGTGTTTCTCAGAGACTCTCGTTTGGTGATGGAGCTGAAGACGGGGCACGGCAACGGTACCGTCGTGCTGACAGTTCAGAATGAACGTGCGGTCAGCGATGGAGTGTGGCACACTGCGAAGATCAGCATGGAGAGCAAGAGCTCCAGGTGGATCATGGACGTGGACGGAGACCAGAGGGAGAGAAGTATTTCTGGGGGAAACCTGGATTTTTTGAAGGAGGAGGGAACGGACATATTTCTGGGTGGGAAAAACCGAGAAAGTGAAGGGAAATTCTCCGGTTGTCTGGGTTCAGTAGAGATTGGAGGTCTTCTTCTGCCTTTTCTCCAGGACACAGAGCTGAACCTCCCTAGACCTCAGAAGGAACAGTTTGTGAAGGTCAACAGCGATGATGTCCAGCGGCCGTGCAGCTTGTGTCAACTGAGGCCTTGTCATAATAACGGCAGCTGTGTTACTGTCCCTAAAGGGTTCAAGTGCGAGTGCCGACCCGGGTACAGGGGGGAACTCTGTGACGAGGAAGTCGATACGTGCGTAAACAACAACTGCAGCCGCGGTTCAACTTGTCTCAGGGGCTTTGAGACCTACACGTGTCTCTGTCCTCGCAACATAACAGGACAATACTGCGAGTGAGTTCATTAACACTGTGTTCATGTTCAACAGGGACCACATTTAAATGTCTCCAGAGCGCTTAGCACATCTGCCTTACAGGTGGTGGTTTGTGGCCCGTTTGACTTTTTTGCTCCGGCCCCACCAAACTTTTCCAAATTATATAATTTATGACCCACGTTTCCCCAATAGATGGCATAGAAAATGATAGAAATAATTTCAGCCTTTATGCATGACTTTCACATGTCATTTATCTTCTTCTTCTTTGATCAACATATGTGTCTCTTGTCTTTACAGGGACAAAGTTCCTGAACTCCCCTGGTACATCGAGATGGATCCGTAAGTGCCTCTTCGCCCCGGAGCAAAAAGAAGACGAAGATGTTCGATTAAAATGGGTAAATTCACCTCTTCCTTTCTTCTTCTGTGTGGTCAGTCTTCCTCAGTTGCCTGTGGCCAAGTGTGAGGGTGCAAGGTGGGAATACAACTGCTATCACGGAGGGACGTGCTCTGAATCCAACAACACTTGTCACTGCCTGCCTGGATTTACTGGACGCTGGTAAGACAGGACGTCGTTCTATGCTGAGGTTGAATTCTTCTCTATATTTACACATTGAATCACCACACAAGTTCGTCTCCTTCCGTAACGTTCCCAGGTGTGAGACGGACGTCGACGAATGTGTCTCGGAGCCGTGCATGAACGGCGGTGTCTGTGTCAACCACGTGAACAGCTTCCAGTGCGTGTGCGATCTGAATCACTCAGGTGTACACTGCCAAGTCGATGTCAGCGACTTCTACGTGTACCTCTTCTTGGGCGTGTGGCAGAGCCTCTTCCAGGCGGCGTCGTACCTCCTGATACGCCTCGACGATGAGCCGGAAATTGACTGGGTATTTCACATCAACGACTAAGACCCCTTTTTGGACTCCTAAAGTTGGAACTCCTTCCCTTCACAGGTGAGTAATGAAAAAAAGTTAAGTTATTGTACTGATTTATTCCGAGCCTGAAAATGATTGTTTTGAAACATTGTCAGATTATCGCTGAATGAAAAAGGTAAAGGGATATGACTGGATTCTTTTTGAGTGAAGTAGATTAGTAAAACTGAAGTACATTTTTTTTTACTGTGTCCCACTGCAGCCTGGACTTACATACCAGCAATGGTCCCCGAACCGGAGTTTGGGGAAACCCTAGTTTTGATCATGTTTCAAACTGAAGGCCTATGAAGTCATTTTATGTGCCCCGACAGAGCTTCACATGTATACGGCTGTCTTAGGGTCTGTACTAATGTGTACTGGGTAGGTTACGGGCAACTAGCAAATACTATGTGTGTACATGGCAGGTAACGCACCATTGTAGGGATAGAATTGGGATAGAAGACTGGATTCTTTTTGAACAAAGTAAATTAGTGAAACCAAAATACATTTTTTTGCCCGGCAACAAATGACCTACGTACCTTGCACCGGTCCACGGACCAGGGGTTGGTGACCCCTGCTTTAAGTCATAAAGACATTTCAACAAGAATAAATTAAACATATAGGATTATAAAACATTATTACATCATAAAAAAACAATTAGAACTGACATGTCACAGCAAGCGGAGTCACCAGCAGCTGGCAGCGCTAATGATAAGCCTTGCAAGCTAACATAGATGGACGGATAGACTTAATGAATCCCTTAGCAATGCCCTCTGAGGGCAGTAGTCTGAGACTACAAATGTTTTTTGTTCTTTTTGGTATATTTTATAATTGTTGACCAACACCCTGATGTGCAGTCTATATGTTAGATCTTCAAACTCCACATGACAATGTGAATATGTTTGGGGTTTTTTTAAATAGTTTTGAATAAAGCAAAACGACAGATAGAAATAGTTTCAAATGTAAACGTGTGTGTGTGAGAGTGAGAGTGTAACAGATTCAACTTAAAGGCCCCTTTTCACTCTTCTTCATGGAGTTTACAGTCACACAGCTCCTTATAGATCCTCCTCCGGATCTTTGGTATGTCCTTCTGCGAGAACCGCATGGGTTTTTCCAGCGCAAGTCGCCGACAGTACTGAAAATAAAAGCAAAAGAAGACAATTGGGTCATTATGAAGACTAAAAAGATTCGTCAAAAAAAACCCAAAAACGTGTTACCTCCAGGACAAAAAGCCCGCAGTCATTTTCATTCATCTGTTGAGGGATTCCCTGTGATGAACAGCAGAGGGAAACAAAACACCTCATTAGTGTGTTTGTTTGTCTTTGCAGCATTGTCTCGGGCCACTTTACACGAGTCATTTCAGGACAAACGATAATCGTTTCATACCTCACTCAACCACAAGGTCCAGCCGTTCATGAAAGCACTTTTCTGCTTCTCCCGTGCTTCTTTCATCAAGTATTCCTGGATATTCTACATACGAAAACAACATTGTACTTCTGCGTTCTCCCACGGGGTCACACACCAGAGAGTAGGAGTCGTTTGTTACCCGTGCTATGTGCTTGATAGCATTCCCCTGAGAGTCATAGAGGTAGATTTTTTTTGTAACGACGTTGGCGGTCACCAGACACCAGTGAACATCGAGGTGGACCGGCACCAGCAGCAGAGTCTTGGAGAACAAATCTACCTGGACAAAGACGGTAGAAAACAAGGACATATTGGCTTGCAGTTGAAGTTAAAACCCACGACACAAAAATCAGATTTCTATGTAGAAAAATAATTTTAAAAAAATCTCAGCATTATGTAGCTCATTGTTTCCCAAAGCCTGGGCCCTCAGGAGGGTCGCGAGAGATTTTTTTTGGGGTCGTCTCACATCATGTTTCAAAGCTTTTTAATACTAATTTATTCAGATATCACTCGGTCAACAATAAAATATCCTTGTGACTTTTAAAATATGGGTCCCTGGAAAAAAAGTTTGGGAAACACTGGTCTAACTGACCTGTTTAGTCCATCTCTTAACGCCATCGTATCCTTTCGTCATGAGCTGTGGGTGGAAGAAGCTGTTGAGGAAATGGACCTGGAAAGCCAGGAAAACCAAAAAAAAAAATAAACAGGCAGTGGTCACTGGTCTATAGTCTGTTGTGGACAGATAGTAAAAATCAACAGAGTATCATTGCAAGGTTCTGTCCTGGTTAGAAAGCGATAGAATGCAATTATATATATATAAAAAAAGATTTGATGTCATATTCTTGGGTTTCCAGTATAGACTAAAGGAAGATGAAAAAAACATCTGCAAGGATGCTAAACTGTTAGCAATCTCCACCTGATGTCAACTTTACCTTGTGATGTGCAGATTCCATGATCAACTCTCCGTACATGTTGATGATCTTAGGGTAAAAACAGGAATGTTTAGACACATTTGAAGGCTTTGAGGACAGTGACAAACGTGAGTGTTATGGCACAAAACCTGGTCGTTGAGCCAGTTCTGATCTGCCAGGGTGGATAAATCATCCAGGCTCAGAGTGTGTTTTTGGTAGACCACACGAAAAGAGCCGGAAGGTTTCCGGGCAACCGCATCTTTGTACGTGTTCACCTCTAAAACGATTGGATTAGCCCTGACGAATTAAGAACGCAAACGGATAAGACTGCCGTGAATAAATCGGAGAGAACAGCGGTTTAAAATATTCTTCTGGGGGTTAAATCTAAATAAAAATAATCCAAATTAGAAATCAATTTAACATGTTGGAAAAACTGTAATCACATCCGATTTATCCCGATCCATAAACAAAATAGTTTAACGCTTTGAGATTTAAATGCTGAACGCTACAAGAACGGCTTTAAATAAAGCTAATAGCAATTTGTTAGCACTGTTAGCGAAACATTGTGTTCATTTCTCTGATTTACCTGTCATTCAAATCTTTGTTAAACTTCGTTTTCAGGTGCTGGAACACATCCCTCTTCTGAAACGGAATGAAACTTCCATATTTTCTGTAGAAGTTGTCAATGAATTCTGGGTGGAAATAAAAGGAAATTTCATATTAAGCTGATTATAAAAGTTAAAAATATATATCCAAAAGTAGAGATAAGAAACATGGAGATGTACCGTGGATTTCCTCGGTCAGCGCCTGAAGGCTGACCTTGACCTCTGAAGCCTTGTCCTGCCTACCTGTAGTGTCAATAGTGTGTTGTTCTAATGGATACGCCACAGTCTGACGTTTTATCGTCTCTGCAGGGACAAGACTATGAGTCGGTCTTTGAGGAATTCGGGCCAAATTTGTTTCTGTAGTCCTTTTAGAACTTCTTTCTAACTGAAGTCTTTTCCGAGCAGCCTTCTCAGCTTTCACATTTACAGGGTTGGTCTGTTTCCTCAGTTTCCTGTTTTGTGTCTTCGGGTCGAGGGAAGGATCAGATCTGGTCACACGCTTTTTTTCTTTTCTACTGAATATCCTAAAAAGATATTTCTCTTTTTCCTTCCTCCACATCCATAGCTTCCATTTACACCGCAAGCGTCTCTGGGCTCGTCTGCACAAGCGAGAACCTCCTGCGACTGAGGGCTTGCGCTGCGTCCTCTCGAGGCATTTGCCTTTGCTTTTATAGTTCTTTGTGTTGTTCATCTAGCGCCGTTTGCTGGGTCTGTTTATAGGGGTGTAAACTTGGTAGCACTGAATCTGGATTTTCTGGCGTCTTCCGTGTTTGATGGAGACATGGGTATTTCGGGCCATGGTTTTCTTTGGTTTAAAATCGACTCATCCTTCTTCACCTTGTGGCCTTGTCTTCCACCTTTGGCAGTGACCTTATAAGGGTCCATATAAGTCCTATTAAAACAAGACACTGAGTAATTACTACCTTAAGTTATTACAAGTTTTCTCTGAAATTATTTTTCTCAAGCACTGCTTTGACTTCATGAAAACTAACATAACTGATTGGCTGATAGTCAAATATTTGTATATACGTATAATACATCTATTCATCTTTCTATTCATCTATTAATAGATGAATAGAATAGTGGAAAAAGACCAGGAAGGTGTCAACGGTGTGAACCCGTAGCTTACTGTGTTTTTCCTGCAGCCTGTCACTGCACCGACAGCTCTGGGGTTTTGTGTATTAACTCGGTTTTAGTGTCTTTTAACACGTCTGCCATTGAACGTAGCACTGGCTACACGAGCTAATACTTTCAACTCTCACGCAGAGAAAAGCTGATTAAAACTCTTGTCTCACCTCAGCGAATAGCCACACGACTCGTATTCTATTTAAACAAGAGTCGTCCATTTCCTGTACGCAATTATATATATTTATTTTATAGTTAAACGCTCTCTTCCTCTGTCTGACCTGCAGCATGAAAACAATCTAAGGCACACTGAAGTTGTCTCCTATAGATGACGTCATCGCAGCGAGTCTGAGTCTACCAAAGAACGATGGGTAATTTTGGTTAAATTTAGGATAAAATAGGATTTTTTTTTTTTTTAATTGAATTGAAAACTAAAATGGACACTAAAGTAATACTATCATACAAATACAAACAATAATAATTAACTAAAGTAATACTATCATACAAATACAAAAAATAATTAAAACGTTTTCAAGGCAGGGCAAGTACGGTTTCAATAAGTTTGGTTAAAAATTATGTCAGCCAAAATGACATATAATAACTTTACACTTACCTCAAAGTGGGAATTGTTATTGTTGTTTTTTTATTATTATTTGTACAGGCGTGATAACGAATCTTTCTATCGAAAGAGGTTTTTAATTTCAGTATAATAGTTAGTAGTTTTGTGAGAGTATTAAATAAATATATATATATATAAAGCATTTTAAATACTTAAAAAATAAACCCAAAACCCCAACTATAGAGTCCATTAAATGGCCTTGATACCAACATCTGTTTTGAGAAGAGCTCTGAATTTCCTCGCTGTGACCTGAAGCGACACTTGTGTGTCGTCCAGACAGTGCAACAAAGTGCAAATACACGGCGGACAGCAATGTGTGGTCTGTGTCTTTCAACTTCCTCCCCAACCTCAATCCACCTCATCGGCAAACAGAACTGCCATTGAGCAAGATTCTGGCTCCCCACTGACGTTGAGGCCCTGCTGTGCGGCTCCGTGACCCGTGAGGACACCGGCAGCTGGTTGCTCAATATTGTTGCTCATGAACGAAACATCTGGGTTTTCTTTGTTCTTTTCTTCTTTTCTTTTTTTTAATGATATTTAATGAAAGCTGTATCACGTCAGATCAAGAGACAGCATTTTTTAATGTATCACGTCAGATCAAGAGACAGCATGGATGAGAGATCAGGATGAGAGATAGTGTTTGTCAAAGTCTACTTTTAAAAAAAACAAACTAGGATTTCTCGCTAATTTTCGCCACACTCTCAACTCAGTCAACTTGCATTTGTTTTGGCATGGGTCCGACGAGAGTGTCCAGCCCACAGGACGCAGGAGGGATGATGACTGTGTTTAACTTGGCTGTGTTTTCCTGTTTAAAGTACAGGATCAGGATATATACACCACGGGCTGTGTAACTTTTTTACTCTCCTTCCTTGCCCTTCAGTGCTCCGGTGCTCTGAGACTCTGCATCCCTCAGCAATGAAGACCCTGGGCATCACTGCACTTCTGGTACTGCTGGCAGGGGCCTGGGCCCAGGTTGCTTTTAGGGAGCCTATTTGCGACTCTCCTGAGGCCGAGGAAGCTGCTTTGGCTGCCAGAGATTACCTCAATGGTCAGCACACTCACGGCTACAAGTACGAACTGAACAGAATTGAGGATATAAAGGTTTACCCTGGGGTAAGTTTGAGAGTAGCAGTGTTCAATAGCAGTCAGGGAAGATCCTAAAAGGGCTCGGCATACTGCAGTTAAATCAGTTTTATGCTTAGATACTGGTTCATCCTTCACCATGCAGGCATTGAGACGAAGATTTACATTTGGTTTTCTCACTCCAAGTCTCTGAGTGTTAACCTGTTTAATTATTCATTTCTGGTTCTGTCTTCAGATGAACGGCAACGAGATATATGTCATAGAAGTTGACCTGCTGGAGACAAACTGTCATGTGCTGGACCCCACGCCTCTGGCCAACTGCACAGTCAGACCCAAACATTTGACGGTGAGGAGGACATTTTAATATGATATATATATGCTAGCAGACTGAGTCCTAATGGTTTTTCTTTACATTAGGCAGTGGAAGGAGATTGTGACGTGGTGCTGAACAAAGTTGGTGGAGCTCTGAGTGTCAGCGCATTCAAGTGTAAAACAGAGGGTAACAATGTCCGATGCATAAACATCCGTAGGTACAGATCACGCCAGCAACTGTTCGACGCTAACATCCGTACGTGTCCTCCGTCTTTACTCAACTGTAGAATCCACAGAGGACCTGTGCCTGGGCTGTATAAGCCTCCTTCCCCTGAACAACACTGAAGGCCTGGACTTTGTGCACGCGACCCTGGCGGCCTTGAATAACAACTCGGTGGATACGTCTTACACCATTCTGGAGGTTGGACGCATGTCCTCACAGGTAGGTTTGGAGCATAGTAAGTACAGATGAACGACAATACTAATGTGGGATTATGAAAAGGGATGAATCGCCCACAAATGCCTCGTTTCAGGTCGTGTCTGGTGGGCCAGTGTTTCAGGCAGAGTATGTCATTATTGAAGCCAACTGTACTGATGGCGTTTGCGTGCCACTGAACGACCCCTTGGCCGTGAGTACAACTTTTTGTCTGTTTTCCCACCTCTCAATGTTCACTCCAAACTCAGGTTTTTGTTATTACAAAACGCACTCTAAATTGACTGATGGTCAAGTGATTTTTTTCCAAACTCAGGTTTTTGTTATTACAAAATTTAGAGTTTTTGTTATCACTCTAAATTGGCTGATGGTCAAGTGATTTTTTCCCCCCCTCCCTCTGCAAAGGCTCGCGGTTTCTGCATCGCCGAGGGCGTCAAGACCTCTCACGCAACGCGATGCAAAATGTTCCCCACTCAACTGGTAAAACACTATAATTCATTTTGTTACGCATTTTGTAAAGTAACGCTCAAGAAAAGCTGACCCACAGCTATGATTTTCCAGATGCCCGTCGTGGATGCCAACGGCACCGTGACTCACGTGCCCGTCAAGCCGCCGGTGGTGCAGGTGCACACAGGGAGTTTGTCACGCAAGCACGGCCTGAGCCATCACAAACTGACCTCTTTTCACAACCCTCTTCTGAGCGGTCACCTGTCCGCAGAATCAACAGAGTCATTAGAAGTTGTACCCCAAGCTGCGGTGGTCGCTGACACCGCAACAGGTGTCAGCGAACCAGTTCAACCTGACGATTCCGCCGCAGACTCCTCCTCCAGTAGAGAGGTGCCTGTGGTTATGTTCAAGAGAGATGTCTCTAATTTCTCTATCGGTATTGAAGGCCCTATAATTGAAACCGGTCCTGCCTTATTCAGACCACGATGCCCTGGAATGATCAGACACTTTGACTGAACATGTCCACTGGTTCTAAATTTGTCAAAGCATGTGTTGCATAGCTCATCTTGAAATATTTAGGAAATGTTTTCTGTATTTCATATCCAATAAAACTGCACACTTCTCTGCAGCCAAAATACATTACACTGTTCTTTACATGGGAAAACATCCTTATACCTTTATATCAATGGAAACTGGCACCAGTCTGCATGTCAGCCATGCCACATCTCTAAGGGCGATTTCAAAACTCACTGTTTGCTGATCATTGGTCACTCGGTGCCAATGACACTGCCATAAACCCGATGACTTCTCCCCTCACGCATCAAGAGTAAACATTTGTGCAATTATCCAGGATTTGTTCAGCATGAATCAAAACAACATGACTCAACATGACTCAACATGAAATTTCATTTTTGAATGCAGATTTTACATGGATAAATGGAACATAAATATAAACAAAAATTATTTGAAGGATTGTTTAAGTGCACACTCACTCAAAAGTGTAGATTTGCAACTGGTCTTTAATATTTAGAACAAAGGTTTTGTGAAAGTAACTATAAGGATGATTTGGCAACATCTAGTGGTGACGTTTTACATGTACAAACAAGATGCCCTCAGGTGATGAATTAGAGTTGTTTGATCAGGGCTAAAGGAAATAAAAAGCTGTTTATATTTCATCTTGAATTGTTAAAACCCTCCTTGCATTTACATCAGGGGTGTCAAACATATGCCGGCCTCGGGGTTTCAATCCAGCCCACTTGTTGAATTATGAAAGTATGTATGAATGCCGGCCTCGGGGTTTCAATCCAGCCCGCTTGTTGAATTATGAAAACACACAAAACATTTCATGAAAATAACATGGATTTGGTTGATGGTTCAATCAATCAAATATTTACGTTATGGTCCAATAACATGGATTTGGTTGATGGTTCAAACAATCAAATATTTACGTTATGGTTGTACTGGTCCGGCCCGCTTGACATGTTAGCAGGTTGCATGCGGCCCCTTAAGCAAAATGAGTTTGACACCTCTGATTTACTTACATGAATGGCTCCTAAAAACCTAGGTAAATTTTACATTCAACTTGAGCCGATTAGCTTGAAAATACACACCCTTATGATACAGCACGGAGCAATCATCTATAACAAACTAAAATGTGATGTCAAATAATTATCCATATGCAGGTTAGCTAATGCTCTATGGCCTGTATTTACTTCAAAAATAATTATAGTTGCACACTGAGGACATAGCAGATATTGCTGCAACAGGCTGCCCAACAGGAGGTGCCAAGTATGTGGTCCAGTGTGAAAAAAAAAAATAAGGTGCTGGTAACTTACCCACGTATTGAAGTTTCAATGACAAAGTCACATTTTATTTCAAGGCCAAAAGTGTACTAAAGGAGGAAATAATGAGTGAGTAAATCCTAGTATTTACATACATGGGTCAATGTTCACTGTGAAGTTCACAGTAAGACAAAAAAAAGAAAAAAAAAAAGAACTCCAGTAAAACAGGTTCATTGCACCTTTTGGGGTTGCTGAAGCGGATGCAGGTATTATGTCAATAAGAACTGTGTAAACCTACATTTACTGCCTGCAGAAACAGGATTTGGAAAACAAAAATAGTTTCACCGATAATCAAAAGCACCACAGTACGTTTTCAATTGTTTATTAATATAGAAAAGGCATAGCATTTTCACAGTCCACCTCCCGTTGAGCACATACAGGCCTTCCTGCATGAAGAGAAGCACATTAATCAAAAAGACAAGGTTATGTGTTAAGGAGTTAAAAAAAAATAAAAATAAAAAATTCTCGTACCTGCCATTCGCCATCATTGAAATCCTTTTCCAGATTGATGGAGTGGATTCCTTTGGTTGGACACTTCAGAAGTAATGGGCCTCCACGTGTCTAAGGACTCGATAAATTTGGACTTCAAATTGATAGGATTTTGAGATGGTTCTTTAGACAAACGTATAGAATATCCTGTAGGAGACTGATCTCCGGGTCTTGGTACGTCTTTACCATCGGCGGGTAAAGAACTGGATTGTTTTCCCAGCCTCTCGGTGTGCCAGGGTTGGGGTATATAAGAGAGGGGTCCTGAAGGCAGAGCGTCTTCACTGAAGCTGCCGAGACTTCTGCCAGAACCCTTTGATTCAGGATTGGATTTAATGGTCTTCTGCATGGGCTTCTTTGGATCCCTTACAAGGTGTTGGGACAGGTTTACAGATGCTTGATCACCCTGAAGTACAGAATAGGGTACATTAAAATGTTCAAAGGCACTTTTAGCTGCAGGACCGTGCTTATCAGACTGCTGTATTTTCTCAGACAAAGGCTGATCTATTTGGTGTCCTAAAGCCTGATTGGATGGCCCACGTACTGCTATATTTCCTGGGCCATGGTCCAAGGGCTGATGTTTTGAAAAAGCACTGTAAAGTTCATTTCTTTGGCGGGGATCAGGGAACTTCTTACTTTGTGGTACGTACTGGTACTGTGCATTTGGTATGAAATGAGGGTAGGTAGGTTGTTCAGGATAGTCAAACGTCCTGGAAACGCCTTTTGAAGGTGCTTCACTGTCACCATCTAGTGGCAGCCGATAAGGATGCTTTGCATTTTGAGATAAAAGGGACTGTGGTGAATAAGAGGGTGGGATTGTTGCATCAGCTGGTTCTTGTGGAGGGGCAGCTGTAAAATGTGTGCCAAAGACAGAATAAGGAGAAGAATAGACTGCAGACGCCTCAACACCGCCAACCCCAGGAATATAATGATGCACATGCTGGTGGAAGGCAATTTGTACACAGCAATAAGAAAGTCCAGATGGACACTCCTGTGGGCAGTATAACTGGGGTATGTTTGTGTTGCCCAGTTGTGGCTTATGTGGGACTTTAGGTACTTGGCCTGAGGCATCAGGTTGTGGGGCAGGAGTTGGTTTTTCAGGTATGTTTGGCCGTGGGTAGAAATAGGGGAACTGTGGTACCTGTTCCTTACTTGCATCAGGTTGTGGGGCAGGAGTTGGTTTTTCAGGAATGTTTGGCAGAGGGTAGAAATAGGGATACTGTGGTACCTGTTCCTTAGTCGCATCGGGTTGTGGGGCAGGAGTTGAGTTTTCAGGAATGTTTGGCCGTGGGTAGAAATAGAGGAACTGTGGTGCCTGTTCCTTAGTGGCATCAGGTTGCGGGGGAGGAGTTGGTTTTTCAGGTATGTTAGGGCGTGGGTAGAAATAAGGGAACTGGGGTACCTGTTCCTTAGTGGCATCAGGTTGCGGGGCAGGAGTTGGTTTTTCAGGTATGTTTGGTCGTGGGCAGAAACAAGGGAACTGTGGTACCTGTTCCTGAGTGGCATCAGGTTGTGGGGCAGGGGTTGGTTTTTCAGGAATGTTTGGCAGAGGGTAGAAATAGGGATACTGTGGTACCTGTTCCTTAGTGGCATCGGGTTGTGGGGCAGGAGTTGATTTTTCAGGAATGTTTGGCCGTGGGTAGAAATAGGGGAACTGTGGTACCTGTTCCTTAGTCACATTAGGGTTGTGGGGCAGGAGTTGGTTTTTGAGGTATGTTTGGCAGAGAGTAGAAATAGGGGTGGTGTGGTACCTGTTCCTTAGTGGCATCGGGTTGGGGGGCAGGAGTTGATTTTTCAGGAATGGTTGGCCGTGGGTAAAAATAGGGGAACTGTGGTTCCTTTTCCTTAGTCACATTAGGTTGTGGGGCAGGAGTTGGTTTTTGAGGTATGTTTGGCAGAGAGTAGAAATAGGGGTGGTGTGGTACCTGTTCCTTAGTGGCATCGGGTTGTGGGGCAGGAGTTGATTTTTCAGGAATGTTTGGCCGTGGGTAGAAATAGGGGTGCTGTGGTACCTGTTCCTTAGTGGCATCGGGCTTTGGTAGTTGTGGGGCAGGAGTTGGTTTTTGAGGTATGTTTGGCAGAGAGTAGAAATAGGGGTGGTGTGGTACCTGTTCCTTAGTGGCATCAGGCTTTGATGGTTGTGGGGCAGGAGTTGGTTTTTGAGGTATGTTTGGCAGAGGGTAGAAATAAGGGAACTGTGGTACCTGTTCCTTGGTGGCATCGGGCTTTGGTGGTTGTGGGGCAGGAGTTGGTTTTTGAGGTATGTTTGGCAGAGAGTAGAAATAGGGGTACTGTGGTACCTGTTCCTTAGTGGCATCAGGCTTTGATGGTTGTGGGGCAGGCATCTCTGGTATGCTTGGCTGAGGACAGAAGAAGTACGGGTGATATGGTACCTGGCCTTGAGTGGCATCAGGCTGGGGTGGTTGTGGGTCAGGTCTTCCTGGTATGTTTGGCTGGGGACAGTAGTAGTAGGGAAACTGGGGTACCTGGCCTTCAGTGGCATCAGGTTGTGGTGGTTGGGCAGGAGTTGGTTTTTCAGGTATGTTTGGCAGGGGGTAGAAATAGGGATACTGTGGCACTTGTTCCTTACTGGCATCAGGCTTTGCTGGTTGTGGGGCAGGCATCTCTGGTATGCTTGGCTGAGGACAGAAGAAGTACGGGTGATATGGTACCTGGCCTTGAGTGGCATCAGGCTGGGGTGGTTGTGGGTCAGGTCGTCCTGGTATGTTTGGCTGGGGACAGTAGGAGGAGGGAAACTGGGGTACCTGGCCTTCAGCTGTACCCAGCTGTGATGGAAGTGGTACGGCGATTGGCTTCTCACCAGGCTGTAGTTGAGAGTGGAGGCTGGTTGGAGGTTGCCTTTCTTGACCCTTGGGATCCAAGATAGGAATTTGCTGTGTAGGTGGCAACGCTGATGGGAAGGGGCAAAAAAGCCAGAATGGAAATTGGTAAGGAGGCTGGTCAATTAGTCTGGTTGGCTGTTTCGGAGAAATGTCAGACTTGGGTTGTTGAGGCTTGTAGGTGAAAGGGTAAAACTGTTGTCTTTGGCCCTCAGTTTGAGTAGATGGGGCTACTGTAGGGGGAGGTTTTAGTTCAGGACTCTGTACAAAAGAATCACGTTTTGGTTGCTTATAAAAAGGTTGGTAGTAAAAAGGTTTCCCTATTTCACCATTTACTGGTTTGGGGGCTGGGGCTTGAACTGAAGATCTGGTTTCTGTTAATTGTCCTAGTTGGGGAAGCCAGGCATTTGGGAAATATGGCACCTGTCCTTGAGGAGTCAGTGGTACCTTCGGTTGTTTGCTTTTAGTTGACCAAATTAAAGGAGAAGTACGTGGCTGTGTAGTAGGTACAAGTTTATTGTTTTGAACAGGGTAAAAGAAATAGGGGTTTTGAGAATAGTGAGAAGGCTGAGGTGGCTCAATACCCTTTGGCCACTTTGGTTTCAGTTGGGGCACTTCCGGGATCTGAGGTAAACCTTGTCCCTGGTTAACTGGTAAATACGGTTGTGAAATTTGGGGCTGGATGGGACTCTGTGGGATCTGCGGCAGGATGAAATGTTGTGTCCGTTGGCTCTGCATTTCAGGTTGCCTTTCTGGAACTTTTGAAGGATCTTTTGTGGGTTGGGTGGCAGACATTGAAGGACAGGATATTTTAATTTCCCCCTCTCCGGATAGTTCAAGTATGTACATTTCATCCTGAAATACAAAATGCTGAGTAAACATTTTTGGAACATTAATGGAATTACGCTTGAAAACAAGTGTGAAAAATGTAACAATCTGTACCTTCTTTTCCAGACATGGTAGAAAATAAGCAGAGATGACTACACCCTGAGGATGCACAACTACACTAAACCCACATTTGGATGAGGCCTTCATCAGGGGCTCCCAGAGACCACTCACTGTACCCATAAAAAGGACACAAAAAGGTAAAACTCATTACACCATGATGGATCAGTTGTTTGAGTGACTAAAGCCTGTGCTTAAAAACAGGTTGATCAAGGTCAGGGGTGTCAAACATAGGGCCTGCGGCCCAGTGTCAAACATAGGGCCCGCGGCCCAAATCTGGCCTGTTATGATGTTCAATCTGGCCCACAAACACTTCATGTTAAATTTAATTCGATGTTGGCCCACAAACACTTCATGTTAAATTTCATTCGATGTAAATGAATAAATAATTTTAAAAAAAGCATGAACTTATTTATAATTAAATATGTTCTAATTGTACTTGTGTGGCCCACTTGACATCTAATTAGGTTGTATGTGGCCCCTGAACCCTGATCTAGGCACATAGTTGGTGCCTTAATTTGAGTTTATAATTCTGATCTAGAGGGGGCAGTATAGTGTCTTTACGACCAAAGAAAGTCAAAAGCAAAACTTGCCTTTTACTTGAATCTTAGCAACAGGGACCGTCCATTCTGTTTTTACAACCATGCCCTCTGAGTGACAGGAGACCATTGGTGGGGTAGATGAAGATGGTTTCATTATAGGGCATGTCATCTTCACGGGGAGTCCACACCAACGCAGGGGGAGAACATAACAGTCCTCCTGAAATAGATGTGACAAAGTACTAAGTGTGCATAAAAAAAACCAAACAAACAAAAAAAACTGAATATTTAAGCAAGAGTAAACACTTTCAGAAATGTCACACCTGAAGAGAAACAAAGCAGCCGTCGTAAGGTGCAGTCAAGACAAAGTCCCTCCTCGAGGAGGTGACCACGTATCCACAACTCGGTGGCAGGTTAGACAAAGGTAGAGGAGACAGTTGATTTCCTGAGATAACAATTATTACAGTAAATACACTTTATTTTTTTTTATTTAAGGTTTTCACATGAACACACCAACAATAAAAACCACAAACTTACCCCTGTCCACAAAGAAGTGGGATCCAGCGGAAGAAGCGTCATCATTGATTTGAAGTTTCATAAAGTTTCCTGAACATT